TGAAAATGCCATATACTGTGTGATTCCAACTCTATGACATTCTTGGAAAAGCGAAACTATGAAGACAGCAAAAAGATCAGTGGTTTCCAGGGGTTTGGGGAAGGGAGGGATGATAGGCGGAGCACAGATGACTTTTAGGGCAATGAAAGTACTCTGCGTGATACTACAATGATGGACACATATCATTATACATATGTCAAAGCCCATAGAAAGTACAACAGGCGTGAACTCTACCGTGTAAGCTATGGACTCTTGGTGATGGTGTCTCACTGTAGGTTCATCAATTGTAACAAATATACGTTGTGGTGAGTGACGTCAATAGTGGGAGAGGTTTTACCTGAACAGGGGCAGAGCATATATGAGAATTCTTTGTACCTTCTGCTCAATTTTTGTGTGAACCTCAAACTACCTTAAAAAATAAGGCCATTTAAAAAACAACAAAACAAAACTACTCTGATTATAGAAAATGCAATGAAAGAGGTTGTGCAGGGAAATTAGCAGTCTAGTGTAGTTTTGGAGAATCAAAAAGCAGTTTGAAGAAAGTGATCTTTGAGCTGAAATCTTCACCATGAATAGTTGAAATATCAATTGTATTAAGTGTCATAACTTGATGAACTTAAGTAATCATATGGGCAACAGGATCATAGTAACAAACAATAAATTAAATCCACTTGAAACTGTTATCGTACATGGTGAATACTACTTGTAATGATTAGTCTACTTGTGTGAAGTGTGCCTCAGATCTGGAAAAACAAAATATGGGAAGGGGCCAAATATTGTCATGGTAACAGAAAGAGAAAGAACCCATGCTGAAGGGATTTCAATAAGCAAGAACAGCCAATATTCCCTAAGTAGCCTTCCATGGGAGTTGACATCTGTTATTCATTTGTTGATTTTAGGTTTGAAGAAAAGAAGGATAATTGGAAATACTTCTATTTTCTGGGGAAATGTGGAATGGAGGAGCTCGTAGTGTTTCTTAAATGGTGATCCATTACTTTTAACATTTAGTACAAACCTGCCCTCTCTAATTAAAGAATGAACAAGAGAACTGGATAACATCTAGCTTCAATCATTTCAAAGCTGTGGAAGATCAAAGGCAGGTTCTTGCTTAAGCCAGGAGAAGAGAGGGTTTCTATCATGAAAAGAACTTCCATCATGAAAAGCATCTTTTGGGTTCCTGGGAAGAAATGAGAAAAAGTATATTAAGAAGGAGGTGGAAAATATTTAGCAGATGATTGCAACTGTGCTACCTATCTCAGAGGAAAAATAGCAAGGAAAAGAACAAACTAGCTACCCACATAGCATAGTAGTTCAAAGGAAAGAGATTGATATCAAACAGACTTGGATTTAAGCCCCAGTTCTACCATTGACTAGCTATAAGGTGTTAGACAAGTTTCTGAATTTCTCTATAATCCAGTCTTCTCATCTGTGAAATGGGAACATTACCAGAAGATTGTACACTCAGTTATTTTTTGACAGCATCTAGCTTATTATAGCGACAGCCAAATATTAGTTGTATTTTTTAATGAGGTGAGTAGCTCTCTCAGCATAATAGTTTTGCAATCCTGTTCATCTTTATTTCCTGTTGGACTGAAAACATTTTAGGAAAATGCTAGGAGGAAATTAGAATCCCTTGGTGAGTGGCCGGAGAGCTGACAGTACAAGGGCAAATACCAGCCTACTATAGTGGTGGTTTCCAAAGCAATAACCAGACTTGGGCCCATATCGCTGATGGGCTCTGGATTGGCCTCTAGTGTCTAGAGGAGCACACAGCACTGAGGCGTGCTGATGCCTCAATCCCCTGCTTATCATCCCTTTGTAACTGAACATGGGAATCATCAGAGAGCTGACCAGCACACCTGCCTTCCTCACATGGATTCCTAAGCCAACCTGAATTGTCATCCAGTCCCCTGTTAGAACCCTTGTAGCCACCACTGTATTCTATAACTACAGCAGTATCTGAGGATACTTTGCTTTATGTGGATAAGGAGAGAGCACAGTTTCACCAATTATTCTCTGTATGCACTCAACACAGTTACTTAATTAATCTGAATTTCCAATTCCTCATATCTACAAATGGGGCCAAGGATACTGTCCCCATCAGGGCCTAAGCAGGTATCAGATGACACGCTCAAGCTGGGTGATGGGGAGATTTCAATAACGGATTACTTACAAGGTGTGAGCAAGGTTTGAGGAAGCCAACAAGGGCTGATACCATCCTTGGACCTGCAGTGGAGGATCATTAGCAGCCAGGTTTGCCTAAAGGGCTGAGGGAGGGAATGGTTTCCAGGATCCAAAGAGCATCACTCTGCAGATACCCCATGGGAATGGCCCAGAGTCAACTAACTACTTTTCCCTGCTCTCTGATTTTCTACTGATGCTAAAACTATCAGCTGTGTTCCAGTGGAAGTGCCAGAACAGGGAGCTGTTTGATGCAGTTCATCAGCCTCCTGGGCAGGGCAGAACAAGGTAGTAGTGGGTCTCGGGTTGAGGGGTGGGAGAGGATATAGAAGCTACCCAGCATGGACATCACCAAGGAAGGTATGAGCAAGAATTAAGGTCATTTGTAAAAACCTTCCCATCCCTGACACACAGTAGGAGTGCAGTAAACATTAATTCCTCTAAACCCTCCCCACTCCCCACCTCTCACAGAGAAACCCACAATCCTGCAGCCACAGTCCCTGCCCCACATTGAGTAGAAACCTCCAAATACAAATGCACATGCGCATAATGCTCACTTTCTATGTCAGACTTTCCGTTTATGTGTGGTTGATTTTTAGGTTTTGGCTTAAGCGTTTATTAGCTCTACATTCCTCAGTGGAACTTTTAGCAATCAAACTTCAGCCTGTTCTTCCCGAACTTTACCTGGCCCATCAGACACTGTCTGCACCAAATTAGTGGTTAATTTCTAATTATTTGGCCTGCTTTGGGAGACAGAGATGTGTCAGCACCAAGTTTTGACGTTTCCCAAAAAGAATTAAATATCCTTAGAGAAAAAGGAAAGGATGATTCAGGAACCATAGTTTTTAAAAGGATTTGAACACCACTTACAGTAGAGCAAATTTCCAGATAGCTCCAGGAGCTTAATCTTTGGAAGGAGGGGTTTCTTGTTTATAAACAGGCAACCATTTGTTAGCCAGTGCAACAATAAACCTCTGCTCTCTGGTCAGCCATTTTCATTAAATCATTCTTAAAGACCACCAAGAAAAGGTGCCAATCATTCTGCTTAACTATGTGGCTGACCATCTATTATTAACCAGAGCACATACTTCTGGAATAACAAATGGGATCACAAAGATCTGAGCTCGATAAGCCCTATAATGCGATAACTCCTGGGTCTGGTCTCATGTGATAAATGGGATGGTTGATCAGAAGTGCACAGGAGAGAGACCGGCATCCTCTCTGAGCTCTCCCTCCCCTCTCTCCCTCCCTCCCTGTGGCTCAGCTCTATTAAAAATGCTAAAGGGAGATATGTATTTCATATAAAAAATATGCAAATAAACCTTTGTTTTTCAATGCATATTGGCTAGAGGTTAAACCCTGGCATCCTGCAAAAATCAAGAGAAGAAAACGTGCTGAGTGTTTCTGGGGTGTCATTTTCCAGCCATGTTTAACAGAGAGAGATTTCTGGCAGGACTAAGTGTGGCAATTAGATTGGAAATTTAGGTCACCTTTATAATTATGTTCAGATGTGATTGGAAAAAATGTCTCAGGAGTCATGGATGTTTTGGTCAAAAGCGTATTTCAGAATGCAGGTGAAAAGGCAAAGTCCGGTCTCCTATTTAGCTAAATCCCTGTACATCCCTAGATGAGACATTTTATGAGCTGAAGTAGCAGCAGCAAAGATGCTTGATTTGAACACACCCCAACAGAAGAAACTACCTTGTCTTTTTTCTTTGCTTAATAATAGACTACAAATGGCACAGCTGTTTTAGTATAATCTCTTGGTCGTTTGGTGCAGAAACTTCAGTGTACTTTATCAACATGAGCCCGCTAATCCCAGCAAGAGCCTGAGGGGGTTGGCCCACTGTCCATTTGTGTTATTTCAGGTGAATTCACAGACAGCTACAAATTTTAGTCTCTGCTTTAGAGCCAAAGAAAGGAAGTTCTTACCCCTCTCCAAATAGTGGGTATCAATGTGTCATCACTAAGGCATCCATGATGCTCCTGCCTGGTACCTGGCCTGGAAAAAATGGAAGGCTGAGTATCCAGGTGTCTCTGACCCCATGAGAAAGAAGAGTGAGCTGGAGTAGGGACATACCGATTCTTCCAAGGGGACTTTTTTTTGAGGAGTGCATCTATCTAGAAAATATCTATCTCCCAGTAGACCAGTGGTTCACAGCTTTGCCTGCACATTGAAATCCCTTGGGACAGCCTAGAAATCACTGGGTCTTACCTTCAGGAATTTCTATTTAATTGGCCTGGGGTGGTGGTTTCAGCCCGGGGAGTTTCTAAAACACAAGAGGTGATTGTAATACTGAGCCAAGGTTGAAAACCACTACTAAAGTCAGGAGTTCCACTAGGAACCACTACTTTTGGGTGCTTTTTCTGCTTTGGAAAGATCCAGTTTTGCTAGGGAATGAAAAGTTATTGGATCCAGGTGGTATCACTTACTCCTGGCTACCTTGGGCCTTACACACTGGTGTTTTTCAGACTGTGGGCAGTGGCTTCCTGGGAGGTGATGGAACAGATTTAGATCAGTGTAACTGCCACATTTTGTTTTAAAAATAATAGAATTGGGAACATCTGAGTCCATTATAGATCATTATTTTGTAATAATTGCTTTGTAATATTACAGAATATTATTTGGTAAAACATTTCTTTGTGTGTGTGCAAATGTTGTGAGCTTGTACTGGATCTTGATGTAAAGTATTTACCTTAATGAAAATCATGCTTTAAAAAAGTATAAAACTCTTGACTTTATTAATGCTAATACTTTAGAGTGTATCTCTTCTGTTTTATATAAGAAATCTGGGCTCTGGACACTGCTTTGGGCTCAGATGATTTATGAAAACAGAATACACAGCCTTAAAATAGAACGTAGGCATAAACACCCAGAAGCACTCACCTTTGTAAGATTGTAACAAAAATTAGCACAAATGGAGTTGAGAGCTCTAATGAAGTTATGGACCCAAGCACAATATTAGCAAAAGGGCAGAATTCACACTGTATCAAAGTTGTTCTGCAAGAGTTTCAGCACCTTTGTCCAAAGCAAATGTGAAACTCCCTCAGCCACCTGAATGACAGTGTTACAGCAATTCATCAAAAAGAAAAATCACAGACCCTTCTTTCCTTCCATTCGACTTAACTGGTCTTCATTTCCCACAGTAGTAAATGTTCTAGATGCCTCTTGTAGACCTTGAAATATGGGAATGGAAGCTCGTATTCAAAGAATATCTATCTTAAGATACTATAAATGATACTAATTTTTAGCCCATTTGAAATATGTAAGTCGTGCTATAACAAATCATTCTGTCACATGTGCACGCAGTTGAACTGATGGGGAAAGTATATTTGAATTGATTCCAGTCATAACCAGTGAGGCACATCTAACTCAATGGTGAAAAGGTGCATCACACAATTGCCTTGCTGCTGGTTACATGGCCTGGGGTCTCTGCCTTCTCCCTGTTTTCCTCCCCTACTTCCCACCCTCCCTGCAGCAGCCCTCGGGTCTGGGGGCTTGTTACAGTCGATGTGAAGGTTTAAGCCTGTGAACCTGCTGCACGTGGAGGTGTGTTGTCTGCAGCTCTTGTTTCTTAAGTCTTGAATGATGCCTTTGTTCAAGTAATAGCCCTGTCTCTACACCCCTCCACTCCCGCTCTGGGCTGAAGCACAGATGATAAACCCTGAGACTGGCCTATGCTGAAGGTGAGGAATTCGGGCTTTCCCCATGTCTTCTCTCTGCACCTTTATGAAGGGGTGCTGCTTTTTCCTCTCTCCTCCTCAGCTCCCCTTTTGCACCATCACCACCCAACACCTTTCATGATATTTCTTTGCTGTGGCCAGAAGACCACCAGGTAAGGTTGGAAAGAGCCTCTGACCTCTCTTGTTTGGTTTGGAAGTTCATTTATTCACTCTCGCTCAGCCTGGGAAGTGAATATTGGGCCCCGCCACTGTCTGCTGGCATCATCAACCAGTGTGTGTGTGTGTGTGTGTGTGTGTGTGTGTGTGTGTGTGTGTTTAAACATAACAGGCATTATTTTTGAATAAACAAATGTTTTGCTTTTATTATTATTATACTTTAAGTTCTGGTATACATGTGCAGAATGTGCAGGTTTGTTACATAGGTATACACATGCCATGGTGGTTTGCTGCACCCATCAACCTATCATCTGCATTAGGTATTTCTCCTCAACCCCCGATGGGCCCCAATGAGTGATACTCCCCTCGCTGTGTCCATGTGTTCTCATTGTTCAACTGCCACTTATGAGTGAGAACATGCAGTGTTTGCTTTTCTGTTGTTGTTAGTTTGCTAAGAATTATGGTTTCCAGTTTCAACCATATTCCTGCAAAGGACATGAACTCCTCCTTTTTTACAGCTATGTAGTATTATGTGGTGTTTATGTGTCCCATTTTCTTTATCCAGTCTATCATTGATGGGCAGTTGGGTTGGCTCCAAGTCTTTGCTATGGTGAACACTGCCGCAATAAACATGCATGTGCATGTGTCTTTATAGCAGAATGATTTATAGTCCTTTGGGTATATACCCAGTAATGGGATTGCTGGGTCAAATGGTATTTCTAGTTCTAGATCCTTGAGGAATTTCCACACTGTCTTCCACAATGTTTGAACTAATTTACACTTCCACCAACAGTGTAAAAGCATTCTTACTTCTCCACATCCTCTCCAGCATCTGTTGTTTCCTGACTCTTTAATGATTGCCATTCTAACTGGCATGAGACAGCATCTCATTTTGGTTTTGATTTGAATGTCTCTAATAACTAGTGATGACAAACTTTTGTTCATATATTTGTTGGCTACATAAATGTCTTCTTTTGAGAAGTGTCTGTTCATATCCTTCGTCCACTTTTTCATGGAGTTGTGTATTTTTATCTTGTAAATTTGTTTAAGTTCCTTGTAGATTCTGGATATTAGCCCTTTGTCAGATGGATAGGTTGCAAAAATTTTCTCCCATTCTGTAGGTTACCTGTTTACTCTGATGATAGTTCCTTTTGTTGTGTAGAAGCTCTTTAGTTTAATTAGATCCCATTTGTCAATTTTTGCTTTTGTTGTCATTGCTTTTGGTGTTTTAGTCATGAAGTCTTTGCCCATGCCTGTGTCCTGAATGGTATTGCCTAGGTTTTCTTCTAGAGTTTTTATGGTTTTAGGTCTTACATTTAAATCTTTAATCCATCTTGAGTTAATCTTTTTATAAGGTGTAAGGAAGGGTTCAGTTTCAGTTTTCTGCATATGGCTAGCCAGTTTTCCCAAGACCGTTAATTAAATAGGGAATCTTTCCCCATTTTTTGTTTTTGTCAGGTTTGTCAAAGATCAGATGGTTGTAGATGTATGGCATTATTTCTGAGGCTTCTGTTCTGTCCCATTGGCCTATATATCTGTTTTGCTACCAGTACTATACTGTTTTGGTTACTGTAGCCTTATAGTATAGTTTGAAGTCAGGTAGTGTGATGTCTCCAGTGTTGTTCTTTTTGCTTGGGATTGTCTTGGCAATACAAGCTCTTTTTGTTTACAAGTATCTTTGTGTGGCCTTTTCCAGGTTTAGCCACCAGAGACTCAGAGCCAGCAAGTCTGAGTAACCCAATGACTCTGCTTTCTCTCATTACAGCACAAGCTAAAAAACACATTGGCTCAGTCTGAAATTTGAACCAATGTGTTTTTTAGCTTATATTGTGATGAAGGGAAAGCAGAGTCACCGGATTACTCAGACTTGCCAGCTCTCAGAGTCTCTGGTGGCTAAACCTGGAAAAGGCCACACAAAGACACATGTAAACATGCACAACTTTTCTGAATTGCTTTCATTCCCTATCATTGTTTTTGCTTTTAGAAACTGAAAAAGTTTTAAACAGGACCCTCAGTTGGTTGTTGTTGCAATCCGTTTGAGTCCGTTCAGAATCTGACAACTGGCACAGAAAGAACCTTGAAGTCAGCACATACTGTACTTTGGTTTTAGTGCTGCTGCTTCTCAGTTTCAGCAGGAATTTAAAAATGAACTTAGTGTGCCCAGCAGATCCCCAAAATTGGCCAGCTTGACTTCCCAGCAAATTGCTGAATTTTTCCACTTTCTGTTCAGGACCACTAAATGCTGAAATATGGATGTGTATCAAAATGACAGCAATTCATTGTGTTCTAAACAAAACAAAAAAAGAAAAAAAAAAAGAAAAGAAAAGAAAGAAATCTGGGACTCTGAAAGATTTCACAACTTTGTCCAAGTTCACCCAGATACACCAAGTGATGACTCACAGTCAAATCAAAGCCTATGTGTCCCTGTGTGTCTCCAGGGCCCAAGCTTCCTCTGTTACCCATGATGGGTTTCTATCATCCAAGACCCTGACTTACACCAATATCATTGGCATAGCCTCAAGTCTTTGCTCTCCTTAATGCACCAACTAGAAAGATAGTTAAGAGAACAAAGGAAAGTTCCAAAAAGAAAAAGAAAATGAAAGAAGGAAGGTGGGAGGGAGGGAGGGAGGGAGAGAAGGAAGGAAGGAAGGAAGGAAGAAAGGAAGGAAGGAAGGAGGGAGGGAAGGAGGGAGGGAGGGAGGGAGGGAGGGAGAGAAGGAGGGAGAAAAAAAGAAAAAAAAAAAAGGAAAAGGAACCTAAAGGCCGCCTCTTCCCTTTACACATCTACCAAAGTGAAGAAGGCTCACCTGTTCCCCTTCCAGAGTTTCTCGCCCTTCAGCCGGCAATGCTTTCTCTGCTGGAGCCTAGCTGCCCCACTCTGCTAATCAACAAAATGTGGAATAGAAGTTCTATCATCCTGCCTGTAATGACCATGTATGTTCCTCAAGAGGCTTCTTAGTTCACACCCAAAGTGAACAGGGTCATTGCATGTCAAAATGGTAACCGCACATTTCCTCTGCAGAAGCACGAGCTTCCTGCAACACATTCAAATCCAAATCGTGAGCCCTGAGTGTGCTAGGGAGTGCTTAGATTTTTTTAAGCAAATGTTATTGAAGCACAACCTACATGAAGAAAACAGCATAAGCCGAAAGGGCACAATGCAATGAATTTTCACAAACTGAATGTACCCTATTCAAATCACTGCTTCAAGAAATACAGTAGCAGCACCCCCAGAAACCCCTCACTCACATTCTCTTTTGTGTCACTATCTCTCACCAAACGTAAACACCACCATGACTTCTAACCATATTTTTGCCTACGTAGAATTGTATGTTTTATGTATATAAGTTATATGCATGTAAGTTAAATTATACTATTTTTACTCTTTTGTGTTGAGCTCCTTACATTCAATATTATATTTGAGAGATTCATTCACACTATTGTGTGTACATATAGTTTATTGAATTCCTTTAGTGTTTAGTATTCTGTTGTATTAATGTACAGCAACTGATTAACCCATTATCCTATTATGCCCACTTGGATATTTTCCAATTTGAGGCTATAAACATTCCATTTCTACTATGAATATTCTATTAAACATCTTTTAGTGAATGTGTGTTTACATTTCTGTCAGTTATTTACTAGGAGCAGAACTGTTGGGTCAAAGGCGTGCATATGTTGTTCAGTTTTAACAGGTCCTGAAAAAGAATTTTCCAGTGTTGTGCATTTAACCTTCCTATCAGCAGTATAAAAAAAATTCAGGGCCAGGCGCAGTGGCTCATGCCTATAATCCCAGCACTTAGGTAGATCACGAAGTCAGGAGTTCGAGACCAGCCTGGTCAACATGGTGAAACCCTATCCCTACTAAAAATACAAAAATTAGCTGGGTGTGGTAGCGGGTTCCTGTAATCCCAGCTACTTGGGAGGGTGGGGCAGGAGAATTTCTTGAACCCAGAAGGCGGAAGTTGCAGTGAGCCGAGATCGCGCCACTGCACTCCAGCCTGGGCAACAAAAACGGAACTCTGTCTCAAAAAAAAAAAAAAAAAAAAGAATTCAATTGCTCCACATCTTCATCAAAGTCAGTATTTATTATTTTCTACATTGTAGCTATCCTATGTGTATGAGAGAGAAAGCTGTTTACTGTTTATCATATTTTTTAAATTAATTTTATTGAGGTACAATGCACATATAAGAAATGATATCCATCTAAAACATATGATTTGATGAGCTTTGAGAGATGTATACTCCCATGAAGTCACTGCCACAATCAACCAGATAGCTCTATATTTCAAAGGTTTTCTCATGTTCCT